GAGCCGGCTGCCGCTCCTGGAGGCCTCGAGCCCGCGTCTCTACAGTTCCGGCTCTCTCGGTGCCCGCGACGGAGCTCGCGAAGCGCGCGCCTACTTCACCACACCCATTTTCTATGTGAACGCGGCGCCGCACATCGGGCACCTGTACTCGGCGCTGCTGGCGGACGCTCTGTGCCGCCACCGTCGCCTCCAAGCTCCCGGCGCCGGCGCCACGCGGTTCTCCACCGGCACCGACGAGCACGGCCTGAAGGTTCAGCAGGCAGCCGCCGCTGCGGGCCTGGCCCCGCGCGAGCTGTGCGACCGGGTCTCGGCCCAGTTCCAGCAGCTTTTCCGGGACTCCAGAATCTCCTCCACCGACTTCCTCCGCACCACCGAGGCCCGGCACCGGGCGGCGGTGCAGCACTTCTGGGGCGCGCTGAAGGCGCGGGGTCTGCTGTACAAGGGGCTCTACGAAGGCTGGTACTGCGCCTCTGACGAGTGCTTCCTGCCTGAGACCAAGGTCAGCCGGCAGCCCGGCCCGTCGGGGGAGCCCTGCCCTGTATCTGTCGAGAGCGGGCACCCCGTCTCCTGGACCAAGGAAGAAAACTACATTTTCAGGCTTTCCCAGTTCCGGGAGCCGCTCCAGCGGTGGCTGCGGGACAACCCGCAGGTGATCACCCCCGAGCCTTTCCAGCACGCTGTCCTTCAGTGGCTGGAGGAGGAGCTGCCGGACCTGTCAGTCTCTCGCAGGAGTAGCCACTTGCACTGGGGCATTCCAGTGCCCGGGGACGATTCGCAGACCATCTACGTATGGCTGGATGCCTTGGTCAACTACCTTACTGTAATTGGCTACCCGAATGCTGAGTTCAAGTTATGGTGGCCGACCACCTCTCATATCATAGGCAAGGACATCCTCAAGTTCCATGCTATTTATTGGCCTGCTCTCCTCTTAGGGGCAGGCATGAGCCCACCAAACCGCATCTATGTCCATTCTCACTGGACAGTCTGTGGCCAAAAGATGTCTAAGAGCTTGGGCAACGTCGTGGATCCCAGAACTTGCCTTGAACGCTACACTGTGGATGGCTTCCGCTACTTTCTCCTCCGTCAGGGTGTCCCCAACTGGGACTGTGATTACTATGATGAAAAGGTGGTTAAGTTGCTAGACTCTGAGCTGGCAGATGCTTTGGGAGGTCTCCTGAACCGATGCACTGCCAATAGGATAAATCCTTCTGGCATCTACCCGGCCTTCTGCACTACTTGCTTTCCCAGTGAGCCAGGGTTGGCGGGGCCATCAGTTCGTGCCCAGGCAGAGGACTATGCTCTGGTGAGTGCAGTGGCCACTTTGCCCAAGCAGGTAGCAGACCACTATGCTAACTTTCAGATCTATAAGGCTCTGGAGGCAGTGTCCAGCTGTGTCCGGCAAACTAATGGCTTTGTCCAAAGGCATACACCATGGAAATTGAACTGGGAGAGCCCAGTGGATGCTCCCTGGCTGGGTACTGTGCTTCATGTGGCCTTGGAATGTTTGAGAGTCTTTGGAACTTTGCTCCAGCCTGTCACCCCAAGCCTAGCTGACAAGCTGCTGTCCAGGTTGGGGGTTTCTGCCACAGAGAGGGGCCTTGGAGAGCTCAATTTCTTGCCTCGATTCTATGGACATCCTTGCCCTTTTGAAGGGAGGAGTCTGGGACCTGAAACTGGGCTCTTGTTTCCACGATTGGACCAGTCCAGGGCCTGGATGGTGAAAGCTCATAGGACCTAGAAACTCATTCTTATGGTTTATGACTTGTGGTAAAAAAGCAAATGTTATTTTATTTTGCATTTTCAGGAAAGTTATATTAATGTTTTCTAAAATGTTGCATCAAATGAGCACATTAAGTGATGTCCCTGTGAAGAGGTTAAAAACCTTCAGATGCCCACCCCGGACTCTTCAGTTCTCTGTGTCCATTAACTACTGTCCTTTGTCTCTAAGACGTCTCTGGGGAAAGATGGTTAAGAGACAACTTTGCTGATACTATTCCTTCTTATTGTACCTCCTTCTAAACCAGTTAGGTTATTTGCCCAGACTACCTCTATTGCCTTGTTTTCCATTGGTCTAGCCTCTGCTGGGCAAATTAAGAATGGGGATTGGAGGCCCCCTACCTCAACTTTTAGCCCTACTTTGTTACATATGTTGGGTCTCATTTACAACCATGACTCCTTATACTTTGTTAATATTAATAGTCTAGTAGTTGTGCTTTGTAATATTACACTTCAACCAGTAGATGGCTCTAGTCTCACATGTTGAATTACTTAGCATTGAGGTTTCAGAATCTTTAGAATTTTGCCGAATTTAAAGAAAAATTTTATTGCTTTAAAATGAGTGATAACTGCAACCACTGCTGTTTTACAGAAAGCAATAAAAAAAAAAATCAGAATCCTCAGTTTTCTTCAGACTACTGAAAAAGGACATTACTCTAAACGTTTTGTAAGCTAATAAGTAAATGTATCCATTAAGTTTGTTTGGACTATCTATGATAAATTCTAAAGCTCTCTTGAGGTACTTGGTATGTTAAAATTTTAAACTTTAATAACAGATTTAGAGGTATGATTAAAAAAATCTATAAATGGTTCAAAAGGGCAGTGTTTTCTTTATATTAGTCTCAATTTTGTTATTCACATACATAATTTGCCTTACATTTATTTTCATCAGTCAGGATCTATAATACAATAAATTGTAGAATAGTTATAAATGTTAATACATTTACTTTTAAGTGTTTTTACTGATTATTTCTTTCGCTCTTTTAAGTTGTAATTAAAGTTTAGGAGTTCATAAATACCTTATTCAGATATGTACTGTTGCATTTGTTGAAGGTGATGGTGAAGGGAGGAATGATCAGTGCTCCAAGAATCTCAAACTGGATTTAGGGATCTCTCCAAGGCTCCATAGGAACATCACAAAGAAGATGTTAAGGTATTAATTTATATAATGACTACACAGTAAGCCAGCATTGTATCTGATAGGAGATTGACTGGACAACTAGGCCAAAGTTTAAAATGAGAACCTGCCTTGAAATATCCATTCTAAGCATAGTAGCAAGTAGAGAGGGCTCACTATGAAGTAAACTATTAGGCTGCTAGTCCCCCAGACTTAATTTATATGCTATTTGGCTCCAGTTTCCATTAAGAGGTTTCTGTTTGCTTGGAAACACTGCTTAAAAAATAATGCTGGAAAGCATTCTAAAAGTGGAATGACTGTTTCTACAAATGTTCCTTCAGACCCTCCTTATTCGTTACACTGGAATCCTGGGCTTTCCATATGACATATTCCAGTTACCTGCTGGGATTATTAGGGCAGATTACTGGGGCCTAGGATTGAGAATATCCTGGATGGAGCAGAGTGGTGAAAGACATGGGATGTGTTTATATGGGTGATGGAAAGTAGACTTGGGAAACCAGTGGAATGATAACCTCTGCCTTTGCAGTGCCCTTTAAGCAGTCTTACAGTTCCTGTCATGAATGGAGAGTGTGTCTTCCACTTGACTGAGCTTTCCTATGGCCTAGTGTTGGTCAGTACACTGGACCTTTGCTTGCTGGGTGTTAATGGAGTTCCTTTTGTGCAGTCTGTCATTTGTGCAGGCATTTAACTGGCTACCAGAATATTTGTGGTACTGGAGGGCACAAGGAAATAGGGGATTATAAGAGGAGAAGGCATAATTATTACAGAAGATAAGTTATTTTGAATGAAAAACTGGTAAGTTGGGTCTGGCCTATTCTGTGGTGATATGGAAGATGAACCAGTTTGATTCTCTCTGTAGGAGGTAAAGCAGATATCCTTTAGGTACTGGATGTATTCAGTTTGACCCAGCACTTTAAGAATGGTGAGTGGAGGAGAGGTAAAACTCAAAACTGGAGGGCATGCACTCCTGAGAGAGGGCATCCTAACCACTTTTGGGAGATGATAAACTTGTAGGCATCTAAGAATCCCCCTACGCCAGAACTGTTAACACCTTATCTGGCATCTTTGGATCCCTTTACCAGAAAGGTTTCTCAAATACTACTATTGAAACTCTCAAGTTTTCATTTTAGGTTATTCTTGGAGACAGTGTTGCAGAAGGTTATGATAGAGCACTGATCAGGTATTCATAGAGTGTCCATTACAGTAATAACAAGCTGTCAACTCAGTAGACTACAGTTCTATCTATGAAGTCATGCAAGAAGTTGTGAGCAACGCACCGTGTATGTCAAGAGGCATCGTTCTATATTAGAGGGCTGTTCCACAAGTGAACTCATAGATCAGGCATCTCTGAAGTCAGATGACCTGTGGCTGTACGGAGGTCAAGAATAGGCAGGAACAAGAAATAAATATAATCTGATTTCGCTGAAATCTGTTATTCTGGAAGTAGGCCTCATTATTTTTTTAAGGACCTGTGTGACTGTAGGGGCCAAGAGCTTGATAAATTGACTATTAAGTTGATTGCTGAAGTACTCAAGAAGGCCTAGGCTGAAACATGGGCCCTGGGGCACAGGCCAATTTTTAAATTTTTTTTGTAGTTGTACTTGTGATAGGGACATAGTTCTTTAGATTTGGGAAGTTCTAAAACCAAAATAAAGTCTAGTTGGTCGGGTGTGGGGCTCCAAGTAGGATAACTTATAAAGTAACTTGGGCAGCATGTGGCAGTACCAAGCATTCAGCAGATTCCTCCTTGGGCATTATGGTAGGGATAGTTTCCCAGAACTCTGCCTGACCCCTAGTGATTATAGTTGCATTGTTGGCCTGCATTGGTGTAACACTGAGTTATGGGGGAGCCATGCCTCTTCACTAAGATTTCGTCCATAAAGTTGCTGTATGATAATCTATAACTGCCTCCTGGAGGCAATGCCTCCATAGTTCTACTAGATACAGAACCGTTATTGTGTGCCCGGCCGGGAGTGGCTCAGTGGTTGAGCATTGACCTAGGATCCAGGAGATTGTGGTTTGATTCCTGGTCAGGGCACATGCCCAGCTGCAGGCTCGATTCCCAGTCGGGGGTGTGCAGGAGGCAGCCAATCAATGATGACTCATCATTGATGTTTCTCTCTCTTCCTCTCCCTTCCTCTCTCTGAAATCAATAAAGATATATTAAAAATAAAAAACAAATATAAAACTTATTGTTGGTAAGATATGGGGTACTATAAACCTTGGTAGATCCTCGCTCTCTTTTGCCAGAGTGAGTATCAGAGGACCTAAAAGGGTGTCGACATATGGACAGCAATGTGTCTATTTTTGCAGCAAAGGTTTACTAGTTCGTAGAGCTTAAGGGGAGCTACGGGACAGGTTAGGGTAACCAAGAGCACAGGTTACAGGGATCAGTTCTAGAATAAAGCCTTTGAGTCCCTTGCAAAACTAAGACAGTATCAAATATGTCATCTCAGTATAACACAGCTAGTCCTGCCCCTTTCTCTAACAGGAACTTGGGGATAGGATTGGTTAGCTTTTATCAATAGTAACACACCAAATTTGAAGGTTAATATTGCTGGAAGGGCCAGAACAGTAACAACCAAGTTAATAAAGGTTATTTAGTAGGGATTTTAACTTCTCAAGAAGAGTGTCTTATTCTTTTCTGAGACAAAGGAAAAAAGCAGCCCAGCCTAAGCTTTCCTCTATAGCACTAACCCATTTGGAGGTGAAATTGGCTCTTCCTTCATGTTCAGGTAGTCCTGGATTACCCAGTATAGATCCTCTGAATTAAGGAAACTAATAGGAATCACTGACCACATTTAAAATACCTGCTTAAGATTATATTACATCAATCAGTTTTTACTTATATTTTCATGATGAGGAAAGGGAATTGGGAAGAGCTGTCCACTAAGAAGATCCTTCAATGCCTCAATGACTAGAAATAATATAGTCTGTGCCTCTTCCCACGAATTGCTATTGGGAGGTTCAGCTGTATTTGAATCTTTACCAAAGTAAGGTGAGGCTACAGTATAGAAGTTCCATCCTTGGCTGTGAACTGAGTTTAACCTCCATTTGGTTTATGACACAGTTTAACTCACCATGGATTTTAAAGTACATGACCCTTCCTCACTTACGAACAAGATGATATAAAAGATGTCAGGATGTTTCAGGAAACCAAGTGTGCCATCTGCAAGAAGAAAATTATAGCTCCAAGGAGAGATGAGCCCTGCCTTCAAGTCATTAAGGATTTGGGATGAAATGTCTGCAGGAGGCCTGGAAGATTCACTGGGTAAACTGGAGGGGACAGATTTAGGAATAACTGTGGAAATGGATGATGCCACCTTTCTTAGTGTATGGTATGGTGACAATGGTACTGACCTTATGCTATACCACTCCTAAGGCTATGCCTTGTGCATGTACCCGCATTAGTTGACAATCACTGATTTGTAACTTTAACATGACGACAAACCTTCAAAAACTAATTTATGATTGTTATAGACTGGAACCATAGTTCTATCTCTTAATTCAACACATTCAATAAAAATATGACCAATTACATTTTTTCTTGATTAAAATTTTTTAAGAGAACTTTTTAAAAAAGTTGTATCTTTATTGATTTCAGAGAGAGGAAAGGAGAGGGAGAGAGAGAGATAGAAACATCAGTGATGAGAGAGTCATTGATGGGCTGCTTCCTGCATGCCCCCAACTGGGGATTGAGCCTGCAACCCGGGCATGTGCCCTGACCAGGAATCGAACCCTGATCGCCTGGATCCTGGGTGAACCCTCAACTGCTGAGCCACGCCCAGCCGGGCTTGATTAAAATTTTTAAAAAAGGTACTATCTTTTACTTTGGAACATGTTAAATAAGATAGTTTCAGTACTTTGGCTTCCTTTGAACTAGTCTAGAAGTGTCTATTGGTTAAAAAGCTATAAATATTAAAAAATATAAAGTTAACAAGCATGTTACACACTTTAGGTTAATCATTAAAATACCAACAGAATGTATTTCTTTCAAGTCATATGAAATATTAAAACAATCCAACAGAAGACATGAGAAAAAAAGGGCAAGGAAAAGTAAGAAATTTGGTAAGAGAAAACCCATAATATGGCAGAAATAAATACAAATATATCAGTAATTGTAATAAAACATCCTAAGATGAACCTCTGTCAAAAGACAGCAGTGTTCAAGCTTAAATTTGAAAAGCTGTATGTAGTTAAAAGGTATATACTTAAACGTAAGAAGATATGACATGAAGAAACAGTAGGCATATATTAACCAAAGGAAAGCTGGTATAATATTAATAGTAGACAATCTATATTGAAGGGAAAATCATTACTAATGATAAAGTGAGACAATATAAAAGGAATAAAATAATTATGAACTTGTATGATCTAATAACAGCTTCAAAATGTAAAGAGCTAAAGCTAAAATTGAAAATGACAAGAAGTGTTGAAGTCTGTAAAAAAAACAAAAAAACCCAACAAAAAACTGCCTTTCATGAATTCAGAAACCATGCAATGAGGAAGTAAAAATAGCTTACACTGGATATTAGCACTTCAGTCTTCAGTGCTCATTACCAAGCGAATCACTGCTAAGTGTGAAAAACAATAACAGTTTTATAGCAGGCAATGTTTTGTGACTAAAACTTGGTCTTTTTCCATGCATGCCTCTGTGACAACAAATTGCTTTTTGAATAGAAATGTCAGCAAATACACTACCCCTTCAGTAAACCCTCCCTATAGATTAAAAAGGGAGAAGCTCCTGTCCATAGTTTTGCCATTTTTAAAAACTGTTGGTTCAGTAATAAGCAAAGGTGAAGGGAGAGAATCAAAAGTTCTATGTTCTCTATTTGTGTTCTCTCATTTATTTTTCCCATTAATTCTGTATTTCTGTTTAACGTGA